CCCCCCCCCGTCTTCCTTGTCCCACCTAACACAGTGTCCGGCATGCTGTAGGTGTGTAGGCATTTCCTGCTGAATATAATTAGTCAAGTTGGCATGTCTCATTGCCCAAGCTCATAACTGCTGAGATGGTGGCATTGTTGAGGAATAGTGGTGACTGCTTGAGAGCTCCTGGAGTATAGGAACTGGATTCTAATGCCTAGCACTTAGTGGGCGATCATTGAGCAGGGACCAATGGGGAGAGTGGGGTAGAGTTTGTATGAGGTAAAGAACTAATAAAGCCATTCTCCGAAGAGGCCATGGTCCTCATTTTCCTGTTAGGAAGGCGGCGTTAAGCTGACATCAGGGCAGCCCAATGGGCACCGCAGCCTGGGCTAGAACTCAGTGCGGAGGGAGAGCAGGAGCGGCCAGGATGAACCCGGAAGTCAGGTAGTTCAGGAAGTGAGTAAGAGCCCTGCTCCTGCCCTGCTTAGCTGCACCGTCTTGCAAATTACTTGGCCTTCTTTAGGCCTTTGTAACAGGGAGGTTGAATGTTTAGCAGAGACCTTCCACACTCAATACAGATTACATAGCCATTACTGTTAACAGTAATCAGGATGGTCACATCCACTTGTTCACTGACTTCTTGCTTGTTATCTCTTTATAGAAAAAGCACCAGAGACTTAAGCGTCAGAAAGAGGCTGATGAGGAGGAGCTGGAGATGCCTCCTCAGTACCAAGGTAAGGCTTCCACCCTTCCCTCATGGGACTTATTGATCCCTGTCATCTGCATTAGGCAGGGGAGTTTGCAGGAAGGGCAGCAGAGCTAGGAGGGTGGACAGCCTGGTTACATGCAGTTGGCACCAACAAAGATCTGCTGATGTGACACCTAAGACTGATGTGGAGGCCAAAGAGGCCTAGGGGTGAAGGAGAGCCTGGGTTAGATGTGTGTGCGGCACTCCTGAGCCCTAGGTCCTCCCCACAACCCAGGCCTTCAGTGAGACTTGCAGCCCACCCCTTCTCCTGAGAGCTGTTTGCCTCTCTTATCCACCCTGAGAGCTCCAGCCCTGAGTCAGGCTGGGTTTGAAGAAGCCACCTGGCTGGTGTTAAGGATGGGAGATGGGAGAGTTAGTGTTGGGCCTGGTCAGAGTTCCCCTCTACATTTATCTCAAGGCCCATAAGTTGTTGCCCTCCCTATAGCAGCTGCTAGGGAAGTGGCTTCATCTCTGCTTACTTCCTGCCAGGGCAGCCCAGCAGGACCCTTGCTTTGCATCTGGAAGCTGAGGCTCCTATGGAAATCTCTGAGTAGTGAGTGTGTCCTCAGAGCCCAGAGCACCCTAAGCCCATTAGAGAACCTTATGGTTCCTCCTCCTGTGGCCTTATGAGCCAGGAGGGCCCAGCTTACCTGCTCTGCACTGAGATGGTATGGCATAAAACCAGGAGGCTGGGTCAGGACTGCTTACCCAGCTGTTTCTTAGCTCTGTGACCTTGGCCTGGTTATACTGCCTCTCTGAACTTCAGTTCTCATCTGTTAAAAAAAAAAAAAAAGTGGGCTCATGTTGGTTATCTCAGTGAATCCTCCTGAGTTGGCATTATAGGATTCTGTCCATGAGCATGTTGGGTTGGAGATGACAGCTGATCTTGGGCAAGGGTCCTGGTCCGTCTAAGCCAGAATTTTCATGTCTGTACAGTGAGATAAATAGCTGCCCTTCTTTGTCATAATGTTGGCAAGAAGCCCAAATAAGATAGGGTAAAAGAAACCTAAAATGCCTTTATTTTATAGATGAGGTTAAGAAGTTTGTCTAAAGTTAGAGCTCTAAGTGGCAGAGCTGGTAGTTAAACCTGGCTGTCTATCTGAATTCTGTTTAACTTTAAAGCCCACGTACTTTCTCCGAGAACAAACAGAGCAAATTTAACTTTGGAGAACATGGGTTACTTCATGTTAGTGGAGAATGTGTATTCCCAGAGGCCTCTGCTAGGATTCTAGTTCAGTCCAAGGAGCCCATGTCTGTCATACTACCGAATAGTCCTTTCTTGAAGAAGGTCATTATCTTGCTAGGCAAGGACAGAGTGGAGACAGAGCCAAGTGCTTGGCCTTTACTCATCTGCTGTCAGGCAGCTCTCTGAGAGAAGGTACCCATTGGCCTTCCTCTAAGAGCAGGCTACCCTGGCTCTGCCTGTCCCATGGTCGCACTTTTCCTTCAGCTGGAGGCACTGGCATCCATCGCCCTGTGGCCAAAAAGACTATACCTGGTGCAGAATACAAGGCCAAGGTAAGAGCTGCATGTAGGGGGATGGGGTCTCCTGGCAATGGACGAGTGTTAGGGAGGGTCAAAGAGGAGCAGAGCAGATGTGCCATCACGGTCCTGGAACCAGATGGAGGCCCGGAAAGAAGGGACACACCAAGGTCTTCTTGCTGTCTGCAGTAGGGGACCTTATTGAATGGACATGTCCGGCTACAAGTGCTCTTTGGCACTTCATAAGGCAGAGATTTGAAGGCAAGGGAGGATTAGGGCCTGTCCGGTCAGGGGCAAAGGTAGAAAGGGGACCCTCACTCCTAGTTGACTCTGTTTCTCTGGATGAGCAGAAAGCAAAGGGTGACGTGAAGAAGAAAGGTCGGATGGATCCCTATGCCTACATCCCCCTCACTAGAACCAAGCTCAATCGCAGGTATGCCGTCATGCTGGGATGGGGGTGGGCATGGTGGGAGCAAGGTAGGGAGCCTAGTACTCCAAAGAAAGGAAGGCCTTATTCTCATTAAACTCTCCCAGATTTTTACTTTTATATTTGTTTGTTTGTTTATTTAGACAAGGTCTCTCTCTATTGCCCAGGCTAAAGTGTAGTAGCATCATAGCTCACTGCAACCTCAGATTTCTGGGTTCAAGTGACCCTATTGACTCAGCTTCCAGAGTAGCTGAGACTACAGGCATCGACTACATGCCCAGCTGATTTTCTATTTTTTTTAGAGATGGGGGTCTCACTATGTTACCCAGGCTGGTCTTGAACTCCTGGGCTCAAGTGATTCTCCTGCCTCTGCCTCCCAGAGTGCTGGGATTACAGGTGTGAGCCCCTGTTCCTGGCTTTATTTATTTATATATTTATTTAGAGACAGAGTCTCACTCTGTCACTCTGAGTAGAGTGCAGTAGTGTCTTTGTAGCTCATAGCAACCTCAAACTCTTGGGCTCAAGCAATCGTCTTGCCTCAGCCTCCCAAATAGCTGGGATTATAGGCATGTGCCACCATGCCCAGCTAATTTTTCTGTTTTTAGTGGAGACAGAGTCTCACTCTTGCTCAGAGCTGGTACCATACTCCTAGGCTCAAGTGATCCATCCGCCTTGGCCTCCCAGAGTGCTAGGATTACAGGCGCAAGCCACTGCACCCACCTCCCAGTTTTATTTTTATCTGCTAACATACACCTACATATAGTAGACTGTGCCTACCCCTGTTATGAACGTGAACTGCTTTTTTAAACATGGCGTTATGTCATGTAGAAATTTTCTAGTATTACATACTCTACATAGTCATCATTTTTTTTTTTTTTGAGACAGAGTCTCATTCTGTCACCCTCAGTAGAATGCCATGGTGTCACAGTTCACAGCAACTTCCACTTCTTGGCCTTAGGTGATTCTCTTGCCTCAGCCTCCCGAGTAGCTGGGACTATAGGCACCGGCCACAACGCCCAGCTATTTTTTTGTTGCAGTTTGGCCGGGGCTGGGTTCGAACCCACCACCCTCAGTATATGGGGCCAGCACCCTACTCACTGAGCCACAGGTGCCACCCCATAGTCATCATTTTTAATTTTTATAATTTGCTTTTCTAATCCCCTTGTTGGTGCCAGGTGGAGAAATTAGAGTTGTTTCCAACTTTCACCATTAAATAAGGCTCTTGGCTGGGGTCAGTGGTTTGTACCTATAATCTTAGCACTTTCAGAGGCTGAGGTGGGAGGATCACTTGAGCTCAGGAGTTGGAGGTTGCAGTGAGCTTTAATTGTGCCACTGCACTGTAGCCTGGGCAACAGAGCAAGACTCTGTCTCAAGAAAAGGTGGGGGGCTCTTAGGAGGACTTGAGGACCATATGAGATACCATGTGTAGGACTGCATTAGAAATACACTAAATTTCGGGCAAGACACAATTGTAAGAGGGACTTTACCTAACAAATGCAATCAGTGTAACCTGGTTTCTTGCACTGTCAATGAATCCCCAACAATTAAAAAAAAGAAAAAAAAAACACTCTAAATTTTTAAATTTCATTGACAAAAAAGCATCTGCTGCTGAATAAAATTTACTTTTAAATGGAAAGATGGGTTGATAGAGTGAGCTTTGACCTTCTCTGTACATACATTAGAGGAAGAAGGGAAGAGAGGCCTATTTCTGGGGGACCGTGCCAGAGTGGAATGATCCAGTCAGGACGTGGGTGGTGTGGAAGCTGGAGCTGCACCTGGCCTGTCCAGTTTGTGTGCTGCCCACCACTGGCAGCATCCTTATCCCCATCCGTCTGGTGCTAGGAAGGACTATCATTTGACATTAGGAGGAGGGGGGCCACCTATTCTCGTTCACATTCAACCCTTCTGTCCCTGCAGGAAGAAGGTGAAGCTGCAGGGACAGTTCAAAGGCCTGGTGAAAGGTGCCCAGCGAGGTTCCCAGGTGGGACACAAATTCCGCAGAAAGGATCGTCGGCTCTGAGGCCCAGGGCTCCCTGGCTGCTCTGCAGTCCAGTCCCTTTTCAGCCCCCAAGCTTCCTTGAAACTAACTCCAGGCACTTGAGACTGTCAGAGCCTGCACTCTGGATGACTTGCTGGAACCAAGGCTTGGCTTCCAGAGAGATGCCTTGAATTTTGGAAGCTCTAAATGGGAATCACCTTTTAGAGACATCCCTGGTACCTGGAAACAGGAATGTGGTCTTACTGCCTCTGAGTAGACTCAGCAAGGTGGCTTTGTTTTCTACCCGGAGTGGCCATGAGCAACAGAGTGATGGTCTTCAATTTCCTTCAGCTGCATGCAGCTGTGTGGCACTCTTGACCTGGCAGTGGTCTAGATATATGAGGTTTACTGTGACCAGATGTAAAATAAATGTGTGTCACCATGCATTATTTGTAGAAACACCTTGTTTCATAGCTTGCCATCTCTAATTGTTGGCACGAATGGCTTGACCCCTTCAACATAGAACTGCCAACATAGAACTGCCCAGGTACCCACCTGTGTCAGGAGAGCTCCCTCACCTCACACTATACTCCCAGTGAGAAGGCAATGTTTGGGGGGCTATGAGGGGCAGTGAAAACCCTGGGGCTGGTCTCTGAGCTGTGGTTGAGCCCTAGGAATGCAGAATGGAAAGAGGAGGCACCTAGCTAGAGCTGCAGCATCGGCTGTCCCGGACACAAGTCTCCAGGAGCTTTGTCCATTGATTCAATGAAGTGTGTGCTGAGCCCCTGCCTGTGTCTGGCACAACCTGATTCATCCATCTTGTTTCCTCACATTCTCTTTTTCCCAGACAAGGTTATTTAATTGTGGGACAGTATGCTTCCCATTGGGCTAGCCTTGTCATTTGAGACGGAGAAGAGAATGGTGCACATTTCTCCCTGCTCCTGAAGTCACTTGTCCCGTCAGCCCAGGATCCCTCTTGGGTGTGCTTTCCCAGCAGGCAGCCAGAAGCAAGAATCCCGGGGCTGTTCCCACACCCCAACACGAATATGCTCTGTCCTCCAGCACTTGATGTTTTTCTCAACTCAGAATCTCCCCATGTGAGATAGGAACACACACATTCCTCAGCAGTTTCCATTCCAGTTTAATGCCCTAGGTTCTGATAATGCTCCCAGGAGGCCCTGTACACCTCCTAGTACCTGTCCCAAAATACTATTCTACTCATTCTCTGAGGGGACCCAAATCTTTACTGGATTCGCTGCTCCCCAAATTAGGCCATTTTTCCCTGATGATTTTGGGCTAAGGAGCCAGGAGGAACCATACTTGGCCCAGAGGTGGCACTGTTTACATTCTTAATTCACAGAAATTTGGAAATAGAGAGCAAGGAAGAAATGTAGTCAAAAGAAGTGGCTATTAGAGATTCACCAAGAGGATCTAACGACCCCAGTTTGACACTTTTGGACACAGTAGGCCAAATTAAGCTAGTCACAGGCCTTTCCTATTTCCTTTCTCAGGAAGTGTGACCATATGCGCTGGGGAGCTTGAGATATGAGTATGAGCCAATTGCTCAGTGTTGGTGTTTTAAAAGTTCAAAGCTGACCTGCTTATTATAGCATGTTTTCCAAGGAGCTTTGTTTTCTTTTAAACATGAGAGGAGCAGGTGACCTAGAAAGTTTGGTGTTAGTGATCTGCCAGATACCATATTCTTTTAGAAACAGACTTCAGGCTCAGCGCCTGTGGCTCAAGCGGCTAAGGTGCCAGCCACATACACCTAAGGTGGCGGGTTCGAATCCCCAGCCCGGGCCCGCCAAACAACAAT